TTGTACCAGATTTCCAGCATCCTGTAGTACTATTTTTCTTAACCTAAGTTATTTACAGCGCCTTTCATGTCGGGAGGATGTCCCAAGGCGCTGGACAATCATGGATTGGGACCCGATCTGATGGTTGGAATCAGGAGGGGTAGTGTCTCGGAGCACTTAACAGTGGCGGAGTTTGACACTGAGCTCGGGAGAGAAGGGGGAGGTGACCACCGGCATGGTCAAAGAGGAATGCCTTCAGAATGCAATCTGAAGACCTGTGGAGCGGGAACGAGGCGGGGGGATCGAGGTAAGAAGTTCCAGAGTTTGGGGTTATATTTTGGAATTGATCTAAGAAACGTCACCATTCAGATCATGAAAAGCAATGTAGCCTCAAAAATAAAAACAAAACGGGGGGCTGCCCAAAACAGTGCTTTACAGGGGATTACAGTGAGACTCTCTAATGTTAAAGGAAAGTGAATTAACTCTTACAACAACAGCAGCTTGCATTTATATAGCGCCCCTCACACAGGGTAGTGTCCCAGAGCGCTTGACAGAGGCAGAGCACGACTCCAGCACTGTCTCTAGTGGGATTCCTGTTATAAAACAGTCACCGACTAAAATCTCTGAACTAGACGGGGCATTTGGATTTATTGAATCAACTGGATTCAGATTAAATCGGAGAACTGAGAGTAACTAAAATTAGCACCTGAAGCTGACACGCGTGTTTAGTGGGGACACAGAATCCAGAAGTCCAGATTACATCTCCATTCCCCCCGCCCCATCCAAGCCAGTCAGTCAGTGCTACACCACTGCTCTCCCTCAACTCTTCTCCCCACACGCACGCCACTCCCTTACCTCGCTCGCTTAACAATTTCATCATCGGGATCCCGCACTGAAATTGACAGGAAATTAAATACATAAATAGATCAATAAGTTTGAAAAAGACAGAGACAGATAGACAGACATCCAGATAGACAAGACATCCAGACAGACAGACAGACAGAGGGCTCACTTAGAAACACTCAGTTTTGAAAAGCCAAGAGATACAAACAGTTCTCCATAACTTTGGCTGAGTTGCTCAACTTCAGTGACAATTTGTTTCAGTTACAACGTGACTGTCCATTCCAAAGTTACATTCTGTATTCAAGATGTTGTCATGTTGCTTGGAGTTTAATCTCTCAGCACGCAAACATGCACAAACACACACACACGCAGCAACTTGCATTAGAAATAATACTGCCTCCTCTCTCCCAAACCTTTCACCTCCAGCACCCATCAAAAAACACAAAATGCACAGGACTACAACGACGACAACAACAACCACAATCCACAGTACAAGTCACAAGAATTGACGGCAACAAATTTACATTTCTATAGCGCCTTTGACGGGAGCGGGGGGAGGGGGTGGGAAGAGGGTGTCCCGAAGCGTTGAAACCAAGCCCCCCCTCTCCTCCGAACCAATCATCTGCACCTCGATTCAACACAAAGCTAACGTCAAACACACCACACGATTATACACCACTCAGCACTTCCTTCAAACGGTTCAGTTCAAACAGTTAATGCAGGAGATTATAGCAAACCGTTAAAAAATCACTGACAAACAGATCACATCGAACCCAATGGGCAGGCGATCAGGTACAGGGGCCGGCACGACACCGAGAGATAAGGGGTTAGTATTGTGAGAGTTGATTGCCCAGAGCGAGCGGATCGCTGTCTGTCCGCCTGACATGCCAGCCTGGCATTCCCGGACTTACTGAACTCGGTGCCCGTCAGTTGGGCGAGGATGCGGAAGGAGCGAGACTGTGTGGTTCCTGTCCTCGGCTGCCAGTCCTGCGTGTCCTCCATCAGACGTTTCTTACTGGCGTCGTTGGGCACGAACCCGCGATGCTCGCCCCGGACACCGTGCCTGAATCATGTGGGGGGGGGGGTGTTAAATGACTGGAGGACGGACGGAAACTCGCAAGGGTTAGATGCAAAGGGTCTGTAGTGTCTAGACACGACACCCCGTGTTAAAATGAACACGCATGAATAGGTACAGATAATGGAACGCGGCAAAAAGGTCACCTACAAGTCATCTCCGCAGTTTCACTGGGAGAGCAACGACAGATCAAGATCAACGACACCCGAACTCTCTCGATTTCCGCATCATCAGAGCCCAACAACAGGGGGCACCATTCCTCAAACCACACAAAGCAGAGACCCAGGATCCAGCCCGGATAAACGGTCACGACGCGTGTGATCAATACCGTCCCTCCGTCGGCGTTCAGCGCAGAGCGAGTAAAAAAACAAATTGTGAGTGGAGGTGCAGATCAGCCATGATCTAATAGAATGGCGGAAGAGGCTCGAGGGGCTGAATGGCCTCCTCCTGTTCCTATGCTCCCATGTTCCTATCAACAAAACAACCAAAGCAATGGTTTTGTCTGCTCTGCTTACCCATAGTCAGCGAGATCATAGAGCATCTCCTCATCTCTCACCACGTAGCACATAGGAGGCTGTTTGCGAGGCTCTGCTGTGTTCTCCACTGTGGTTTTCCTGCGAGTGTTTGCCCGGCACGTCAAGGTTTGGGACACGGCGCAAACACAAGAAATAAAGAGCACAACACAACAAGGGGGAAGGAGGAGAGAGGTGGGGGTGGGGGCAGGGGAGTGGGGTTGAAGATCAATAGCGGAAGAATAATCAACAACAGCTTGACGTAACCAAAACTGACACCCCAACACGATTCAATTCTTCAGATCAGTCACACAACAACAACGTGCACTTATAACAGCACCCTTCACACACCTTAGGAGCGTAGAAAACATTTACGCCACTAACCCAAATTAGAAAATGTAGACACACACACATTAACCCTGCGGGTACTGAATTTCCCTTATTGCACTTTTTTACCCGTCATCCTGTATTGCACCGGAAGTCACAGAACTAACTGCGCCCATTGAGTTTGCTGTATGCCTACGATGTACACAGTCACTACACTTGAAGGTAAAATTCCAGGAAGCGCTTGCTTTGAGGCGTTTCGACGATGGAGTAAGTTTTACGGTTCTTGATGTTATTTTTTTTTTAACGTTGTTCGAAACAACAAACTGTTAACTCCCTAATTCAGTACTCAAGAGAGAAAGGAATGAAAAAGCAACAATTTGTATGGGAAAGCTACCATCTCATCCTTTACGCAGGGTCGCAAAGCCGAGTTTATAATTATTAATAACAATAATTGAATTATTAAACGATTTGAGGCATTCTCTCTTCTCCCTCATTACTGGGGAATAAAAATGGGCTCTGGCAGAGAGTTTAGGAGGTACTTTGTGTAAACCAGGCCATGTGGCTCCCGCCAATTTATCACGGCCGGTTTCAGAGGCCAAGTGAGGAACCCGAGTTAGCTGCCAACACAAGGACACTGCGGAGTCTGGGTTTATTTGCTCAATATAAAGAATCAGAAACCGTTCCAATCACTGCACTGTCCTCGTACTAGAGAGAACCACAACGCAGACCCCGCCAGACTCACATAGCTGCCAAGTCAACAAACATACAAGCCAACAAGTTAAACCAACTGCTACTAACTTGCTGAGATCATCCCCCTGAAAGAGAGAAAGAGAGAGATAGGTTGAGAAAAGTTGAAAGTTAGAACGTGAGGCAACTCCAATAGTGAAGTCCTGTGACATAGCGGTTAGCATGCTCGTCTCGCGAGCGAGAGGACCTGGGTTCGATTCCCGGTCGGGGCAAAACCTGAGGCAGAAAAAACTGCTGTGCCCAATTGGTTTCCCTGTTTGGCTCACAAAATATACAGTCAATTCACTTTACAGTATATTCTGTGAAGCGCTTTGAGGCGTCTCAATGACATGATAAGGTGTTATATCAAATGCAAGGATTATTATTATTATTGTTCACAGGAGCAGAGAACACGGTCAGTCAGACATCGCGAGACGAGACAGTGTTAGAAAGAAAAGACAAGTAACAAAGACAGGAGAACAGATTGCCTCAGATTAAGAAGCACGACGATGGGGTCAGATCTCTGAATTGCTGCCGATATGAACACGCCCTCAGCAGAGAGAGGGAACGACAATATATACACCCGAGGAGTGGCCTGTGATGTAACGAATACTCGGGGTGAGGCAGACCACAGCTCATAGCCAACCTGGTCAACCCAGGCCACAGCAGACAGGATCTACACACCGCTGTGAGTGTGTGAGTGCCTCCAAGCTATCTCTCTTCACTGTCATCGTAGTGGCATTGCCGTTACCGAGACCCCTAGGATTCTGAGCCTAAAATATAGCCCTCAAACGTGGTCGTAAATTCCTGGAGGCCTGAATACAGCAGGACAGCGGCAATGGATTGGGATAAGTCGCTGTGAGAGATGTTTTTTCCGTTCAAAGTCTTGGCTTCCAGACTGCAGGTTGGGTGGGAAAGCGGGAAGGTCCAGTCCATGAATGCCGAACCTATTCAGAAGCACAAAGCATCTCATGGGGTGCCAGTCCCCCCCCATCCCCCAAAACATACGCAGATTGGGCCATGTCTAAATGCAGAGATGGACAAGCATTCAAGAGGTCCCACATAGACACGATATCTGTTGGAAAGTGACTAACGAGAGGAACTGATGAGTTAAGCAAATGTTGTTTTCTGGTTCCCTAAAAACGACTCGATTCACATCACCGCAGCTGATCTGTAGCCACCTGTAGCGTGCAGTCACAGAGCCAGAATCCTGCGCCCTAGCGGGGTGCAGGGATGGGTCAGAACCCAATGCAGGTGATTAGAAACCAGCACGGAGCCGGGCAAAGCCTGAGGAGCCTATGTTGTCCCACCCCCTCTCTAAGAATCCCTCCCCCCAAATTCCTCGAACCTGGCTTTTGTACTGAGAGAAGAGTGGGTTTCGGTGAGTCTTTGTACAGGGACGAGCTTTATTCTCTATGGTGAGTGGATTGGCCTCGTGGGAATGGGGATGGGGGTTGGGGGGGTGGGGATGGGTGTGGGGATGGGGGCGTGTGGTGTGTTGTTAGCGTGGTGTGGAGGAAAGCTATGTGCTCACATACCCGTTGGCATGCGGTGGCCGGGTGGAGGAAGCAGTGGGTGAGCTGTGACGTTCCGTGCCCGAGCCGTGGTGTTCTGTGACCAAGGCGTGTTTTAGCGGTGCCTGGGACACGGGCGTGGTGCTAGCCAAGGCAGCCGGCGTCGGCGTGTAGGGAGACACGGGTTTATAACCCACTGACTTTGTCGGGGTCCCTGGGTTTGAGCCTTTCGAGGAGGCCCCCGCACCAAACGGTCTCGCAGTCTTATTCAGAGGCACGCTTGAGTCAAACGTGTACTTCGGGAGGGACGAGGCAGGTGTGTAATCCTGGGACAGAAAAACACACACACACACATGCACAGACACACCACACACACGCACAGACAGACGCACAGACACACACACATCACAACACACAACAAACCAATGGTAAAATATCAACTACTGTTACTGTACAATCGCCGACAGCACACACCTCGAACAGTGTTAACTGTTAATGACATAAAACAACTATCAGGGTTCTGTGCAGCATTGAACACTGGATTGCCAATTGGTGAACAAGGGACCCACTTTGAAAGAACGCAAGTGGAGGTCTCAAACATATTATGATTTGCTCTGTGTTTCCCTCTCTTCCTCCCCAAATGTTCAAGACTGAGGTGGATTTATTAGGTCTGGGTATCAAGGGATAAGAGGCAAAGCCAAGTAAGTTGAGGTACAGATAAGCTGTGATCTAATAGAATGGCGGAACAGGCTTCAAGTCCTGAAAGACCTACTCCTGTTCCTATGTTCCCAAACCCTGAGATAGTATTATTTTTCCAGTTGGTTGGTTCCACTCTGGGTGTTCCAATACTCGCTGNAAAAAACAGTCTTGACGTGTGTTAATGGCTGGGTCTGCAACCCAGAAATGCTACTGTCTGGCTCTTTACCCGGGCTGGAAAAAAGTGAGGGTGGAGAAAAGTTGGAATGTGGAGAAATTTCTGATATTCTGGAGGGATGATGAGATCTAATGGGCCAAAGGGTCTTCTTCATCTGAACTGATCTTGTAATGTTCTAACACCTGGGTGGGGCATATGGAGGCAAGGGTTTAGATGGAACGATATCTCTTCTCTCCCTCTCTCTCCTCCGTCCATTCCCCCCCACCCCCTCCCCGATCGAATATCCCACTGTCTGCTCTGGTCAGTGAGGACTATTGACACGAGTGGAAATTTAGCACCAGCCTGTTCTCAGAGAGGCTGCAGGGGAGACGAAAAATAGAGAAAGAAAAAAAACCACAGGATTGTAGCTCACATGGGGAAAGATCATTGGAAATTAAAATTACGAGAGATGAGTTAGTGATTTTCCTGTACCGTTATATAAAAAAACTCATCAAAATTCTTTAAACCAAACTGTCTTCCCGTTACTGTGACCAGGTCAGTGCTGGGAAGTCATCAAGTCTGATTAAGACCTCGGCTTATTTCAGCCCAATAGTAGCTTTCGAAAGGGTTGATACTTGAAAAGGAAAAAATTTGCTGGGCTTTGAGCGGGGGAGTGGGATGAGTTGGTAGTTCCTTCAAAGAGTTGGCACAAGTATGAAGGGCCGAATGGCCTCCTTCTGCGCTGTAAGATTCAATGATTCTATCACGGGGAAAGAGTTTTAACAACATTGCATACAAACTTCAAATATTACTTCAAACTTGCCAATAAATAAATATATATATTACGTAGAAATAAATAACATTGGCTGTTATTTCTTTGATGAAAAACAAAATCTAGAAAGCTATGAGTATTTTGGGAGTGTGATGTTACTAACATAAGAATTGCTAGTGGAAGAAGACCAAGGTCCATCCAGTTCGCCTTCCACCATCCTGGCAATCGATTGTCATGTCGTGTCCCGAATTATATATTATATCCCGAGATATTATTTCTTAACAGAAATCTATCTAATTTGCTCTTGGATGAATAGACACTTTCTGCTTCCACTGTCTCCCTAGGGAGTTTGTTCCATATGTTTGCAACTCGCTCATTAAATTTACTAAATGTTCCGCTAGTATTTAGTGCTGGTCACAAAATGGCAATCCTGTCAGCGTTAAACGCTCACTGGCAATTAACAGTCCCGCAGACACAATTCAATCTTCTGAAACAGACAACCTTCACTCGATCTTCCGAGTTGCACGCACGGTTACCGTGCGAGGATAAGCATCGATTGTGTTGAAAGCCGAATTTAAATAAAAATCAACACCCGGCGTCTTAATTTGAATATTTTGCAAGTCAAATCAGCAACCGCTTTCCCCGCGCTCAGTTTGGCTTGTGTTAAAATATAGAGCCCGAAGTCCACTTTACCTTCTCCACACCTCCTCCTGACAGACGGAAAGCCCTAGGCAAGAGAACACACAGAGAAAAGCGTTAGGTTCTGGTCACAGTGCGTGTGTGTGGTGTGTGTGTTTGTCTGCAGTTCCACGACGTTGTACATCACTACATCTCCTACCTCCCACTAAATATCAAGTGGAAGGGGCAAAACAGACATTAGTGCAGGGAATCCCTTGCTTATAAGAAGTGTCGCCGGAGTGTGAGCTTTCTTATAACACGGGGGTCCAACGGACAGGCTGGTCGGTAATTTTCGTTAATTATCAGTGCCATCCCATCCCCCCAACCACCCTCGCACAGGTAGCCTTAACCCTCCTCCAGTCGACAAGGCCTCAGTTAAAAAGTTTAGATTATAGGGCTGGACATATGTAGAGTGTAACCTGCTGCCTGGGTGAGATGACACTCAGCTGAGCCAACACATTTTGCAAAGGTTAGAAGGGATTTGACTGGATATTAATAGCATCCTCCACGGTGAGGTTAGCTCAGAAAGTACAGCAGGAGGGACGGACTGACTGAGGCGGGAGGACAGATGCCTCAAATAATCACAAAAACATGAGTCAACATGTCCCATTAAATGGCCAAATCAGGCCACCTGCTCCCTGCCCTGGCAGAATCCCAACCTCAGCCCAAGCTGATGGGACTTCAGTGACAAAATACAGGGTATCAGCAGCGAAAACACGGGCCTTTTTAACCCAAATGGCTTCTCCTTCTGTTGCTCCACCAGCCTGGAGATCCGGAGAGAAGATACCCATTTGTACTTGATGCGAATGCTCTTGTATCTAATTTCTAGGCAGTCGACAACATCCATCCAATAATTTGGCAGTCAGAGGACCTCTCACATTTCACTCATTCACCAATTCATTCAAATCAATCACTCTTCCCTAGAAATCAGACTCCGGTTTGCTTATCAAGCAGATTCCTTACCAAATGTAAGGTTTAAAAATGTCACCTCTCTGATAAGGCACTATATCAAATGCAAGGAGTGTTATTTTTATTATTAAGATGTTGAGATGTCTCAAAGCGCTTCACAGAATATATTGTAAAGTGAATTGACTGTATTTTTTGTGGGCGAAACGTGGGCAGCCAATTGAGCACAGTAGAATGCCACAAACAGTCATGGATTGAGTGACCATTTTGTTTTCTCTTTGGAGGGACTATTACCCACGGAAAGTGATCCACCAATCGACTCACAACCAGGTTCCTACTTATGCTAGGTAAACAGAGGCGTGCGGAGTGAGGAAACCTGCCTCAGGTTTTGCCGGGGCCCGGGAATCAAACCCGGGTCCTCTCGCTTTGCAATATATACGATGAAGCGCTTTGAGATGTCTCAACAACATGATAAGTTGCTATATCAAATGTTTATTTTTATGTTATTATTTTGAGAAAATCATCCCTGCCAGGAAGTGGTGACAGTTTACGCCTCCTGCCGTCCATAACAACAGCGATATGATATCGGTGTGCGGTTTGATGTGAGCAGCGCTGTGTATGAGGAACAGGATAAAGTTTTAAAGGCTTTTAGTTCCTGTCTATGTTGCAATCACACGTCTTGCAGTCTTCCTCAAAATACACTCCATTTTACAATATATCCTGTGAAAGCGCTTTGAGACATCTCAACGACATGATAAGGCGCTATAGATTTAATAGAGGGATTCAACATTATGAGAGGTTTTGATAGGAGTAGATAATAACATTTGATATAGCGCCTTATCACGTCTTCGAGACGTCCCAAAGTGCTTCACAGAATATATTGTAAAGTGAACTGACTGTATATTTTGAGGCACAGCAGCATCTCACAAACAGTCCATGGATGAGACACCAGCTAGGGATAAACTGTTTTCTCTGGTGGGTGGGTCGGTAACCAGAAGACACAGACTTCAGATAATTTACAAAAGAACCAGAGGCGAGACGAGTAGAATTTCTTTTTTTTTTTAAACCTAGAGGGTTGTTACAATCTGGAATACACTGCCTGAAAGGGTGGTGGAAGCAGATTCCATAGTAACTTTCAAAAGGGAATTGGATAGGTACTTAAACAGGAAGAATTTGCAGGGCTATGGGTGGGGGAAAAGAGCAGGGGAGTGGGTCTACTTGGTATCTCTTTCAAAGACCCAGCACAGGTACGATGGGCCGAATGGCCTCCTCCTGTGCCACAGGAATCTATGAAACGCAGGGGGAGTACTCTGGATGCGCACGGACTGACTCCCCCACCCCCTACCTTTTTTTAATTAAGCACTAAGAACTTGCTGGACTATCGAGTTGCCCTGCGGTGGTTTCGGATTACGAAAACCCGTGACAGGTTGGAGCAGATCTTGTGTCACTGTGCGAGCCACACGTTAACTTGTCAGGGAGCGTAGCAGGTGGTGCGCAAAATCAAGTCCAGGGGTTGAGGGAGGAAAACACACGGTCCTTTACCGCTCTAAAAATAACCTCACTGCCTTTAACCTGTCACATAAACAACTACGAACACAGTGCTGAGGTGCACAGCGGTCAAACCAAAGAGCGAGAGGGATTAACACTCGGATGAGGCTCGAAGCCAGTGTTCCGTTTACGCTCAGCACTTTTACTGTTTCGTCATTTGTATGTCAGTGTGGCACAGTTGGTAGCTCTCTCGCTTCTGAGTCAGAAGGTTGGGGGTTGAAGCCCCCACCTCGGGACTTTGGAAGCACATAGTCTAAGCTGACGCCCCAATGGGGTTGGATTGTCGGAGTTGCCGTCCTTCGGATGAGAGGTAAAAACCGAGGTCCTACAGGTGGATGTAAAAGGGGAAGTGGGAGGGTGTGGGGGGGTGAAAGCACGGCCAAAGAGGAAAGTCTTGAGTGGGCCATGAAGGACAAGAGCATGTCAGAGTCACAGCGTTAACGTCACCATGGCAAAAAAAAAACAATGCGTTAGCAAACGGCACACAGAACAATAATTCTGGGACAATATAAACCAGTGGGGAGTCAACGGACTAAGCCAGGCAGGATATCAATCGCTGCCACATGTTACTGTACTTCCTGTGACATAACCACCTCCCCTGCCTCTGGGAACATTCCCCGCGGAGCTGCCGATCTCATGGCTGGAGCCAGGCCGCCCAGAGCTGGAGTTCAGCAGGACGTGACTGGTCTGTACGTTTCCTGTCTCCAGACCCAGCCTGGAGCTCTCTGTTTACACACTCAGAGAGCCAGCGCAAAACAAGGCTGGACTGGATGGATCTCACTCTCAAAACAGCGAGCAGTAGACACGATGGGCCGAATGACCACCTTCTCTTCACTTTAACGAGAGGAATTCACGGCACATCAGCAGGTCATTTGGTCACAACCCCCTTTTCAAGTCATCAAAACGTCCCGTAATGAAACCGTAGGTTTTAGGGGGCCAAACTTTAGGCAAGTTTCCTTACTCCACACACCTCGGTTTCCCTAGCAGTAAGCAGTTAGTTGATTGGCGGATTTCTTTCCGGGCTTAATAATCCTTAAAAAAAGAATAATTTGTCATGCGCAATTGGCTGCCGTGTTATGTCCACAAAATACACAGTCAATTCACGTCACAGTGTATTCTGTGAGACGTCTCATGGACGTGATAAGGCGCTAAATTAAATGCAAGGATTGTTTATTATTAAAACGCTTTGCGAGAGTCACTTAGAAGTGTAGTGACTGTGTATTTTGTGGGCGAACACGGCAACCAATTTGCACACTGCGACATTCGCGCAAAAAGCGATGAAGTGAATGACACAATTTTGTTTAGATGAGCGATTGTCAGCCAGGACAGGATAAAAACAGAAAAAAAAGGGGTGGGGGGAATGGGAGGGTGGGGAAGGAAGAAAAGGAAGCTTTGTGTGAACTTTGCTTTATTTGGAAGCGAGGGTAACAAGCATGAAATCCTTCAGTTACGTTGATACTTTTACAGCAGCCACATGTGGCATGGATCCATGGTTGGTTGTAGCTTTGCTAACACAATCCTTCCCCTGGTAATATTTTAACCTTACAAGGTTTTACAATCTGACTTCCAGCAGCTCAGCAACTTGGGTTTGGCAGGAGCATCTCTGGGCTCGAGCCAGCAAAAAAAAAAAAAACCTTTACACCGTCTCTAAGAGAAAGCACTCGGCTTCTATAACGCACAGGAAGTACTTTGTGCCTCACACCTATGCCGGTCAGTGCCAGTCTAGATAAAGTGCTCAAGTGACTCATTCGCACTTTGCTTCAACGAGGTAAACCTGCCATCAAAGTGATTTATTGAATCCACTCTATTTGGAGAGAGCATTTCCACAACCATTTGCGCTCCCTCACTTTGACTCTTTGTAGAAAGCCAACGCTTCAGAGGCAGGATTGGTGATGATGATGATGATGATGACGATAATAATAATAACAATAGCATTTGATATAGTGCCTTATGTCATTGAGACGTCTCAAAGCGCTTCACGGGATACACTGTAAAGTGGATTGTCGGATTCAGAAAATGATCCACAGCTCGCAACACTGAGCTGCTGTCGTTGTCTCTCAGGGACTGACTTGGACACTGTAAATATTTCATTTAACTCGGGATAGACAACTTCTGCAGAAACTTGGCAAAGCGTCGCATTCTCAAATCTTCTGACAGAACGGCAGTACAAGGAGGCGCAAGCTTCAGGTTTCAACATCCATTTCACATGGCTGATGAGTTTGTTCAGGTCAGTTACAATAAATCATCCACTTCATGAAATCTTAGGAAGCTTAGACATATTTCTTACAGACACACATGCGCGCACACGCCCGCACACGCACACAAACTTGTACGGGATTCCACGTGCTGAAATTCTGGGCAGATATCTGCATTGCTGTAAATTGACATTTTTTCCTAAAACACCGCTGACGGAACCCATGGTTTAAGCAAATTTTAAAAAAAGCATCAGCATATTTGAGAGAAAACTGGATCCTGGATGAGGGGATAAGGAAAAGGCATGTGGGTGTAAGATAGGAGGAATAGGAGTCCCAGTTGTGGGGCAGAAACACCACCATGGACTGATAGGCTGTTTCTATGTCATTTGCCTCTCCTCTTTAAACTGAGCTCTATTATACACAAACCATCCATCATTCCCAACCTTAGAGCTGACACACTATTAACAGCCTAAAGGACCAACAGCCTTGTCTTTGCTTGGAGACTTACATCTGCGTCTCTCTTCTGTTACTAGTTTGGTGGTTTCTTTTTTAATGAAATTCACCCCGAGCAATTGCAAGTCTTTTCGTTAACGCACAATAACTGCAGTGACCTCAGCCCAGAAATATGTTACAGTCCCTCAGCAAGGGGTGTGGACAGCAAGCAATCTCACTTAGCCACAGCGCTGAACCATTCAACCTCCGAGTGGGCATCTAACGCACCCTCACACACTCACAAGTTTGCTCGCTTGCACACTCTCAGAACAAGTTAGACTACAGCGAAGCACTACTTGCCCCAAATTCCACCTAGTCTGAAGCCACTACCAGTGCTTGCTCTTAAAAAAGTCTCTCTCTCTCTTCCTGTTCCCTCTTTCCTCCCCCTTTCTGGCTCTCTTCCCCCCCTTGCTGCTGCTCTTCCCCCCACCTCTTCCTTTCCCCCCCTCCCTCCCTCTTTTACCTCCCTCCCTCAACACCTGCCGAGAGAGGGAGCCTTGAACAGGGGTTAAAGTGCAGAGATGACGGGCAGCAGTACACAGACATGTACATCAGCGCCTGCTTCCAATTAGAAACACTATTTTCACAAACATTTTTTAAGATTCGCTTTGTTAATATGGCATTTAGCCTGTAGAGGGGGGGGGGGGGGAGGGGGGGGGGGAGAGAGGGGGGTCATTTGTTTTATTTTAGTTTATCTGCATGTCCTTCCAGCCCTCCGTTCCATCGTTGGCCGCACTTTCAGCCACTATGCCCTGAAACGCAAGAAAACTCTTCCTCTATCCCCCCACCCTCCCTTTACCCCCGCCTTACCCATCTTCAGGTTGTGCCTCTTCAACCGTGCCTACGGAAACCTTCCCCCCACCCCCTCCCCACCCGCCCGCCGGCTCGGCTTGAACTCCGCCACTGTCAAAAGGGACACGCTACGGTGTTGTGAGGGGGCAAGTTGTTGATGTCGTTTATTTTATTATTAATCCAGCCGGTGAGGAAAGTCAAGTGTCTAACCGGGACCGGGGTTTAACGTCTCACCTGAAGGATGGCGCCTCCGACAATATTGCAGCCCGCTCTTGCACCCCCACCCCCAACAATGCACTGGAGTGCCAGCTTAGAGGGTGAGCTCAAAGTCCTCCAGTTTACCAGGAGTAGAGAGCACGGCTTATACAAAGGCAGTATACGAATGTAACCTTGTTGTTGTTGGCTTCATTAACAGGCAGACACGAAACTCAAGAACCTCAGGAGAAACCAGGGCATTTGAGAAGGTTTCACCGGAGCAGTGAATGATGAGGGTTTGCCAGTAATCCCAACACATCCCCCTCCCCTCCCACACTAACAATTTAATGCAAAAGCCAAGACTCAGTCATACTATTTTACAACTCCCCTGCGTCCTGAAGGATAGTGGAAGAGAGGAGTGGGGGTGAAATGAGGGAGGTAGAGAGAGAGAGAGAAAAAACAGCTTTGTTCCCAAGATGATTATAAATACCTCAAGTACTGATTCACTCCACACCGCGCTACGTGGGCTATTTCACATCAATTTTATCCTTTTATCTGAGTTTGCAGACAGGCCACCGGATTGCGCTAGGCATCAGACAATCTTACATCAGCCCAATTGTATGCGAGAAGGTTACAGGTCAACTATTTCCTCACCCCCCACTCCCTCCCCTCTCTCCTCCACTCCCCTGTTTTATTCTTGCCTTTTTAAACACTTATGGAATCCCATAGGGCAGTGGTTAGCGCACTCGCCTCACAAGCGAGAGGACCCGGGTTCGATTCCGGGGCCAGGTGAAACCTTGGGCAAGTTTCCTTAGTCCACACGCCTCTGTTTACCTAGCAGTAAGTAGGAACCTGGCTGTTAAGTCGATTGTCATGTCGCTTTCTGGGGGTGATCCCTTCAAATAAAAAAATACATAATAATTTGGTACTCAAACAATAACTGTTTGTGGGACACTGCTATGCGCAATTGGCTGCTGCATTTTGCCCACAAAAGATACAGTCAATTCACTTTACAGTACTTTCTGTGAAGAGTTTTGGGACATCTCAACGACGTGATATATTATACACTTACTTGGCGAGAGAAAGGGTCAAGGATCCAACACAAGCCTTGATCTTGTTCTGAGCTTCCAAGTGAGTCATCCCCTCAGTATCCTCCCCATCGATGGCCAGGACCATGTCCCCCATCCCGACACCGGCCTGAGCTGCTTTTCCTCCTGGAGTAACCTGCAACCAAACAGAGACCAGTGACCTTTCAACTCTGCCTTCTGGTCAGGTTGTGCACAGTGATGAGGCAACTTGTAGCTCAGGGGTTAGAGCACTCGCTTTGCAAACGAGAGACCTGGGTTCAATTCTCGGCAGGGCGAAACATTGGACAAGTTTCCTTCCTCCATACGCCTCTGTTTACCTAGTAGCAAGTAGGAATCCGGTTGTTAATTGATTGTTGGATCACCTTTCTGGTCGTAATAATTCCTTCAAAAAAATAATAATAATAAAATTGGTCACTCAATCCACGACTATTTGTGGGACACTGCTGTGTGCAATTGGTTGCTGTGTTTCACCCACAAAATACACAGGCAATTCACTTTACAGTATATTCTGTGAAGCGCTTTGAGACGTCGGAAAGACGTGATAAGGCGCTATATCAAATGCAAAGATTATTGTTATTTTCTAACCTGGGCCAGGTCACGTCTCATTCTTGGGGAGTTAGAAACAACACAGAATTAGTCTTTCGCACCAGAAAGCATTGACGGTTCCCCACACACACATCCTTGTGTAACAGTCTGAATGTGCGAGCACTCATGTCTGGTTTATGAGGAAATGCCATCAACGTCTCTCTGGATTGCATCTGTCAAGTCACTGTGGATCAGTCCCAGATCTCACCCCGACACCAAAGAGCTGAGTGTCCCCATTACAGGCTTACTCACAGCGCTCAGCACCACATACACAGCCACAGGGCAGATAATGTAACAAAGGTGGAGGAAAGCGGTCCTCGTCTGGGACCAGAACTAGGGTTAGAAGCACAGCCAGGGATCGAACCTTCTGCCTAGGTCACCGCTCCTGCCCTCCTTCCCTCCTGATCCCAACCCCCAGTCCATGTACAAATTCTTGACTGTCCAGTGCTTTGGGTTGTTCTCCCGACGTGAAAGGCGCTGTGCAAATGCAATTTGTTGTTGTCAACCATTTTGGAAGCAAAGATCCGGGCAAACAGCGGATTAAAACACAATTCCCACTTCTAGGATCCTGGTCACTAAAACAGATGGCAATCACAAGGCTACCTACGTTCACACCTCCAAACAGCATTCTTTAACTTTGTAAGTGTCCAGGCAAAGAGCTTAAAATTAGAGCTAAGCCATTTTGTGGTAGTGAAATCAGGAAGCATTTTTTCACACAAAGGGTAGTGGAAATCTGGAACTCTCTCCCCCAAAAGGCTGTGGATTATGGCTGGATCCGTTCATATTTTCAAGACTGAAGTGGATTTTTGGTAGGTCGGGGTATCAAGGGATATGGGGCAACCGGGATGAATGAAGTTGAGGTACAGATCAACCATGATCTAATAGAATGGTAGAACAGTACTCCTGTTCCTATGAACCACAAGCATCTGATTTTTTTCTTTAATTTTTTTTAAAAAAACTGGAAACCAGTAATCTGTGGGATTGAAACGTGGCAAAGCACAAATTTATTTGGGGAAAAAAAATAAGTCTGCATATCATCTGCCAACAGGCCAGGACTCTGGAGATACCACAGCAATCCTGAGAAAGCCCCGACCATGGTCCCTGACGATTTGGGGGTCAAGAAATTGAACTCTAATTGAAATCTTGGCTACCACCGGCCCATTGGCATATCTGGAACCCAAGAGGTAGATACTCAGAGGCAGTTGTCACTGAGCTGCCGTCAGGAATCAATTCATTCCTGCTCTCTGGGCTCCACAGACTCGCACTTCAGGAAATGTCCGTACACACTGTGCGATTATGCCATCAATCATCTGCGTGCAATTTGTTCCAGGACTCAGAATTTTGACTCGTGTGGAGCACTGCGCACATGTGGAAACTATCTAAAAAAAACACGCCAACTTTTTTAAAAAATAAATAAATAGAAAACTGATGAAAAAGTAGTCCAATGCAAACCTCAATAGCCTTCCGTATAATTTGGACGTACGTTCAGCCCCGAAACTCTGGGACACTCTTTCTGGATCCCTCCACGTTGCTCCCTCTTTCCCCATCATCAGATCACGCCTAAAGACCTCCCTCTTCAACTGTGCCTATGGTCATCTCCCCCGTTCCCCCCTCTCCAGCTCGACGTCGTGCTCGGTCACTGTCAAGCACTCTCAGACGTTACCTTGCAGGTGGGGCGCTGTGTAAATGTAAGCTGTTGTTACTGACCAATAATTTGGTCACTCAATCCATGACTGTTTGAGAGACACTGCTGCATGCAATTGACTGCCGCTTTCTGCCCATAAAATACACAGTCACTCCACTTTACAGCATATCCTGTGAAACACTTTGAGACGTCTCGCTGTGATAAGGTGCTGTATCCAACGCAAGGATGATCATTATTATTAATAATAAAAGATGGGCGAGTGAGATGCTCTCTGGCCCTGCTACAAGGGCATCGTTGCTACCACAGTGTAATGTGAGGAGCATTCAATCCAACGTGGGGAGACTCATTCCTTTTGTGACAATGGGTTTGAGTCATTGAATACGAAGCTCACCAGCCTGTAACTCGTTTCTAGCAGATTACAGTACAAGTAATTTATCTCACTCCAGTGACCGAGAGACCAGGCTAAACAATGAGCACAACACTCCTCTGCCTAATGGCCTCTCGCGAGACACACGGTTCGGGCTGCAAACACGCTGGACGGTCAAACCATCTCCTTCCAAAATCTGACCCGTTGCCTCAGTTTAAAAACCATTCCTTCACCCTCCGAACCAAGGGCCACCGGCAGAGTTTGGGGAGACAGACGTCACGGTTTTAGTTGTGTGCCATTTGGATGTCAACCAAGGATTGATATCATAAACACATATGGATATAATTGAGGGTGGGGGTGGTTCAATTGTTACGATGACTCAAGATTCCAACAGATTTATATTTGCATATAAACCAACAAGATTTGGATGTTATAAACCGACGGGGATGGTTGTTCCTTGTAAAAGGAAAGGTTTTTAAAAAGTTGAAGCCAAAACGTCAAGAATAGTCAGGAAACTCAGAACGTGGCACAGAGCTCGCTACCTATCGAATCACCATTTCCCTCTTAAAAACCCCTTTTAAAGATTTCCGATTTGAAGCAAACTGTCGTGGATTAATCTAATCGAACCCACAAAAGGTCAAACGCAATTTTTGGGGTAGAAAAATGTCCATGTGACAGAACGTGGAAGCAGGAGTAGGCCATTCAGCCCCTCTAGCCTGTTCCGCCGTTCTATAAGATCAGAGGAAATAGTTTCTCTGTAGCTACTCGATCGAATCCCTTTATTGTTTTAAAAACCTCAATCAGATCACCCCTCAACAAACTAACCTCAAGGGAATAGAGACCAAGTTTATTCAACCTGTCCTCATAAATTAACCTTTTAAAACTAGCACCTTGGGATTTCCTCCCAACATGAAAGGCGATGTATAAATGTAATTTTGTATTGTATCGTCCTGGTGAATCTGTGCTGCACCCCCTCCAGAGCCAATTTATTCTTCCTGAGGTGTGGTGCCCAAAACTGAACGCAGTACTCCAGATGGCGTCTGACCAAGTTGAAGCAACATTTCCTCTCCTTTGTATTCCAGTCCCCTTGAGATAAGGTCAAATGACCCTCTTTGATAACTTTTTGTACCTGTGAGTGTGTTTTTAGTGATCCGTAATACAAGGATACTCAAATCTCTTTGCTCCTCCACAGTGCTTGGTTTCTCACCATTTAGAAAATATTCTGTTTTGCTATTTTTGGATCCATCGTGAATGACCTCACACTTCCCCACATTGAATTCCATCTGTCGCAGTTTTGCCCACTCATTTAATATACCTAAGTAGCTTTGTAACCTCCTGCTCCCATCTACAACATAAACGTGCATTTACATAGCGCCCCGGAGGCAGTGGATAATGAGGAGTAAGCAGGTCAGAGAGGTGAAGAGTGTATAAATGCAGATACATTGTGTTTCACTTATTGCAGAACCTGTAACACAAAGCCCTAAGAAATAGGGTTGTCCCAGATGGGAAAGCAGTGGGAAGTTTATCAATGCTCTGGAACCTTTTAGCTGTTTAACCTCCAGCTGTGACCCCAACGCACACCCCGTGGTTCTCCTCTAAGCCTTGGCTCTAGTCAAGGTGGGTTTGGAGTGTTTTTTGTCAGGGCCAGCTGGGTGTCTGACACATGTGGAAACTTATCACCATGATTAAGCGTATCCAAACCAAGCTGAGAATTCCATACATCCCACCTACACATGGAAATCCCAGAGATAGATTGTTGGAATGGAATGCGCTCTCTCCCCCTGGAGGGACGCCTCCTGCTTACCTAATTCCGGAAAGTATTAGGTGCAGGTTGGCAGGAGCTAAGGCTTGGGGGGGGATGGGGGAGCGGGGGAGGAGCCAGAGTGTGCATTGGGGTAACTGCTGGAGTCTAACCAGCTTAAACCGTTTGGTGTCTGGAGCCCAGGTTTAGTTCAGTTGTGGAATGGATGTGAAGTGAGTGGGTTCAAGTGAAGGAAGCTTCTATCCAATTAAGAGCCCACAAAATACAGTCAATTCACTTTATAGTATATTCTGTGAAGCACTTTGAGATGTCTCAACGACGTGATAAAGCGTTATATTCCACTATTCAAAAAATCCAGCTCATTCAGAACCCTGCCGGCCGCTTACAACAACTTGCACTTATATAGCACCCTCCACACAGGGTAGTGTCTCAGAGCGAATACTTACCCAGACCAAACTCCGTATCCCCACCTCACCAGTTCTGGCCCAGGCTCCACTGGCTCCCCATCACCGAATGGATGACTTCAAGAATCTTCACACTCGTGTTCAAATCCCTTCACTTCCTGGTACCTCTCTACCACTCCGACCTCCTCACTCCACCACCCGGCCCCTCCGCTCAACTGGCATCAGCCTCCGGCTCGTCCCTCATACCCCTCCACTCCCCCACTGGAGATCACTCTTTCAGCCACTACGCCCTGAAACTCTGGAACTCTCTCCCTCAATCCCTCCGCCTTACCCCCTCTCTCTGCCTTATTTCAAGTCCCGCCTGAAAACCTTC